GACCCCTTGTGTCATCTAGAGATTTCTGTACGACCAAATTCAGGGTATGCGCAAAACATGGCAAATGATTATTTTTGATATTTCATGAATCGCTTTTACTATATTTGATCCGTTATCTGTGACAACTACTAATATTTTTTCTTTTGTAATGTGCCATTCCAAACAAATATTTTCAATGACATTGCGCAAATAGTCAGAGGTGTGTCGTTCATCTAGTTCAGTAACACCTATGACAGTAGATTTTAAGTTTCCGTCTTCTAAATAGTGGCATGTTCAATCTTGTGATAGTGCTCCGGCTTGGAATCTGGTAGAACGGGCACACCACTTTCATTAAATGTTGAAACCCACTTTTTTTAGTTGTGCTTAGAGCCAAATCATCAACAACAATAAAGTATAAAATTGCATTTGTTAATTTACCTTCCTTTGATCCGCCCTTGCGAAACGCGTTAATATTAAAAATATCATCATCAATTCGTGGTTGGCGTATTACTTCTCGTTTTGGTGTTGAACAAACATCATCATCATCGACCCATGCTCGTCCACTGCTGGACATAGGTCTCTCCTAATGCACGCCACTGCTCCCGATTTTCTTTCTGTCACTCTCATCCAGCCCGCTCCAGCCAGCCTACGAATGTCATCATCCCATCTTGTCTCAGGGCGTCCCACACTACGTTTACCGAGTCGCGGTCTCCACTCAAGAACTTTACGGCTCCATCGGCCGTCAGTTTTGCGGCTATTGTGACCAGCCCACTGCCACTTCAGTTTGCTAATTCGGTGGGCTATGTCGGTGACTCTGGTTCTCTGTCGGATTACATCATTTCTGATGCGGTCCTTCAGGGATACTCCGAGCATAGCCCTTTCCATAGCTCTCCGAGCGACTTTAAACTGGTGGACCAGTCCAGCCGTGAGTGTCCACGTCTCGGCGCCGTATGTCATAACTGGGAGGACGCACTGGTCGAAGACTTTAGACTTAAGACATTGAGGGATGGGTGACGAGAAGACTTGACGAAGCTTATGAAATGCTGCCCAGCCCAACCGAATTCTTCTATTGGCTTCTCTTTCAAAGTTGTTTCTACCTAATCGGAGCGTTTGTCCTAGGTAGACATATTCCTGAACAACTTCGAGAGGTACTCCATTAACAGCAACCAGTCCCTCTCAACGAGCTCGTTGAACATGACCTTGGTTTTATCCAAGTTCATCCGGAGACCGATGCGTTTGGAAGACTCAGCCAGGCTACTCACCATCTCCTGTAGGTCTTGCAGGGTTTCAGCCAGGATGACGATATCGTCCGCGAATCCAAGGTGTGAGATGTATTCGCCATTAATATTTATTCCGCGTCTTTTCCAGTTGAGCGTTCCGAACACGTCCTGAAGCGCAGCGGAGAATAGTTTCACACCACGGCGCAGCAGGACAGGCTCAGTCTGGCCATTCTGGAACACGACGGACATATTAGCGGCGTTAAACAGACATCTCAGCACCTCGATATATCGCCAATCAACTTGGCACCTCTGCAACGCCTCAAGAACAGACCAGGTCTCGACGGAGTCAAAAGCTTTCTCATAGTCCACAAACGCCATGCACAGGGGCTGGTTATACTCTTTGGTCTTCTGTATAACCTGTCTCACTGTGTGAATGTGGTCTATGGTGCCAAAACCCCGTCGGAACCCGCCCTGCTCTGCAGGTTGAGCTTCGTCAAGTCTTCGTGCAAGGCGATTCGAGATTACTCTCGAGAACAACTTATAGACATGGCTCAGGAGTGAAATTGGTCGATAGTTCCTCAGTAAGGTTTTATCGCCTTTCTTGAAAAACAATATGACCAAGCTCCGGTGCCACGCCCTAGGAGTTCTCCCGGAGAAAAGGACCGAGTTAAATATACGCCGGAGCTCCTTCAGCACCGGCTTGCCAGCAGCTTTCAGAAGCTCGGTTGTGACTCCGTCTTCCCCCGGGGCTTTTCCATTTTTGAGTTGCCCAAGAGCCGCCTCGATCTCCTCGAGGCTGATGTCGGGGAGATCCTCCGTCACATGGCGGGTTAATGTGACTCTTGAATCGCTCTTATCCGGTGTAGGGTGGGGCGAGTGCGACGTGTACAACTGGCTATAGTAGGTATAAACTTCCGAAAGAATCTCCGGTTTCGACGTGACGACTTCTCCATTTGTTTTGGTCAACTTCGTCAGGTGGCTCCTTCCAAGCTGTTGTACGAAGACTTTGGACCCCCGATTCTGCTCAATTGTTCTCTGTATTAAGAGTGTATTGGAGCGTCGGAGGTCACGTCTTATCAGCTTGGAGATGGACTTATTCAGAGCCCGTTGTTCTGACGAAGTGACTAGTGGATTGTTTCGCCGCTTGTCCATTAAATCCAGAGTCTCCTTCGAAAGCTTAGACCGCTTGCCCGTACGTCGCATCTCACAGAATTTCGCACCCTCGTCCCGAAGGATTTCTACCACATGGTCGAGTTCCTCGTCGATGTCAACGTCAATTGTGGTTTCCAAAGCAGCGAATCGATTTTCCAGTTTCATTTGGAATGCGTCAGAACCAACGGCCGATTGGAGCAGATTTGGCCGGAGCGTTGACTTCATCAATCGAGAGCGTTCGAGCTTAAAATCGATATTCAGAGTGGCTCTTAGAAGTCGGTGATCACTTCCGGTTTTAAACCTATTGATCACTGAGACATCTCTGAATATGCACTTTTTGTCCGATATGATGAAGTCAATCTCATTCTTGGTCATAGTATCCGGGCTTCGCCACGTCCATTTCCTCTGGGGCTGTTTCTTAAAGAACGAATTCATTAAGAAAAGCGTTCCAAGAAATTGACGAGCATTTAATTTTGCCCCCTATGATTCCTACTCCCATAGCCGTATGATCCTAACATCGATTCGCTACAAGTCTGTACTCCCACTTTAGCGTTGAAGTCCCCCATGACAACGTTAAAGTGAGCCTTGGTGGTGGTGTGTAAGGCTCGAGAGATGTCCTCGTACATCTCTTCCACTACATCATCCGAGTATGTCGACGTTGGAGCGTACACTAGTATAACCTTTAGGCTATACCTTCTGGTTAATTTTATAATGAGGTACGCAACCCTCGTCGACACACTGGAGACTTCAATCACGTTGTCAGTGAGGACCTTGTTGACCAGGAACCCGACGCCGCCCTGTGACGGATTATCTCCCTCTCTGAAGTACATCTGATGGCCAGACTCTAAAGTCAGCGTGTCCTCGCCCTCTCTGCGGACTTCGCTCAGCCCAAGCACATGCCATCTTATGTGCCTCAGCTCCTCCTCCAGTTGAGCTAGATATGAGTCGAGCTGTAGCGTGCGACCGTTATATGTCGCCAAGTTAAGTGTTTTTTGGCGGTCTACCGTAGCCCGAAGGTTCTTAGCACCCCCTGCCCTGCCGTAACCGAGACCGCCGCCTTGGCCTGGAATAGCAAGGCTACCGGGAACTGGGGGCCGGGACAATGTTGCGTTTTCCATTTGGACGCTACGTCTACGAGGGATTGGACCATAACCCACGCTGGTCCAGTGCGGGTTGGTGGGTGGTTTCGCCAGGGCCTCGTCTGTTATACAGCAGGACGCACCGCTTGCAGGGGAGGTTGGCTTGGGACCCGAAAGATGTTGTGTAAGCCCCCTTGCGTCCCGTTGCGCCCCCAATTGTCGGGTAAGTAGTGCACAAAGCGTGCCGCACGACGCCAGCCCAGTTGGTCGGTGCAAAGTTTGTTTACATTGATCTCTCCTTACCAAAACATTGAGAATGTTTAATATTACATGTTCAAAATCATAACTTTAAGCGGATATACATGGATTCGATATTATTTACCTGGAGATACGATATATCGATGCATATTGTATGGTTGTGTATCGATACAAACTATCGATATATCGCATTGCTATGTATCGATACAGCATAATATCGATTCGTATCGCTCATCTTGTATTTCGGGAGCGAGAATATTTGAATATATACGCGCGATCGTGAGGCAGAGCAAGGCAATTCAGTTCGAAATTTGGAATACAATTCAATTTAGTTCGGAGTTTAATACGAGCGAATAGGTATTTAATGCGCCATAATAGTGTCTTATAGTTTAGTTGCGGCGACACGAGATTTAAGTTTACTGCGCAACAACTGGAAAGATTTACTCCATCAAATGGATATCAGGAATTTCTTTGAAAAAGGTGAGTCAAAACAAAACACATATGTATGTACCTAATATGATTATTTGATTTGTTTAAGGGGGGCTCTCTTGTAAGTGTATAGGAAGTAATTGATATTTGAATGTGATATTTTTAAAGGTATCTTAATCTTTATTTATTACCACGGTTTTATTAGGTCCGTTTCTTGTCTGTTTGTCTGTTCGGTACAAATCTGGCAATTGATTTTAAACTAACTTCTCGATCTCCGGATGAGCTAGAGACTTGAAATTTTGACTGTAGGCCAGAAGTGGATGACAATACAATATTAGATTGTTTTCTTGTCTATTTGTTTGTTCGGTACAAATCTTTCAATTGATTTTAAACTAACTTCCCGATGAGCTAGAGACTTGAAATTTTGACTGTAGGTCAGAAGTGGATGACAAAACAATATTAGATTGTTTTCTTGTCTGTTTGTTTGTTTACTTGTTTGTTTTTTCAAAGTTTAAAAAAAAATACACATTTTTTATGACTAAAAAGCTGTTTTTTTTTAATATACTTACCACCTTTTTAAAACGGACTAAAAAGTATAACGAAAAACGTGAGGTGCAAGAAAAAAAAAATAAGATAGGTAATGATAAAAAGTGTAAAAAGTGCCAGTCGTTGAGAAATCTCATGTTAGAAGAGCTTCTCATTCTCATTGACTGCTACTTTTTATGCTTAATTATAATTTAAAATGCTTAGATCAATTTATACGGCATTAGAAAATATTATTTCATACTGTTCAGTCCGCTTTAAAAACGTGGTACATAATTTTTTTTTTCGTTCTATGCCTAAACACCGTAAGAGTAATTATGTTTGTGTATCCTTTTTTTAGGGACAACACGGGAAAAAAGAAAAAAAGGTCGGGATAGTAGCAGTGGAGGAAGCGATGATAAATGATAACCATGATAAAACCCATGTAATGCCAAGATCATTGCATGCTAACATTGGACAAACGTCACATTCTCCAGCAGAACCTGTAAATATATCTGTTGCTGATTATTCTTCTCCATCGACATCCCAGCAAACTTATGACGTCAACGTCGATCCTAAAATTATAGTGGACGATGGCTATCATGAAAATGATCTGGGTCTTTATGTTGGGTTGGCTACTCAGCTATCGACGGAAAAGAAAAGGGAGTTGTTACAACATCCTTGGATCCCGCCCAGAAATTATGATTTTGAATGTGATGCAAGCCATTTGAAAAGGAAATTTAATAATGCTTGGTTGGATCAATATGCACCATGGCTAGTATATTCCAAGCGACTAAAAGGCGCTCTTTGTAAGCATTGTGTTTTGTTCCCTCCGCCCATCAGCACTGTGAGAGTAATTTTGGGATCATTTATGGTTAGGCCATATATAAAGTTCAAAAATATGCATGAAGACTGCCGAAAGCATGCAACGACCAACCTTCACCTAACAGCGACAAATGCAGCAAAAAAATTTCTTGAAAATGTTCCTGTAGACATCCAACTGCAAAGTGGACACCAAAAAGCAATCGATGAAAACAGACAAATATTGTCATCAATTATTTCTTGTGTAGTATTTTGCGGTACACATGATATGCCTCTTAGGGGAAAACAAGCAGATGAGGACGTTTTATTAGATTTATTAAAGTTGAGAATCAATTCAGGGGACGACAAATTAAAGAGTCACCTGGAAAAGTGCCGTCGCAATGCAGTTTACACATCGCCAAAAATACAAAACGAATTGATTAATTTATGTGGCGAAGTTATTAAGGAGAATATAATAAGTGAGGTTCAAAAGACCATGGCTTACGCAGTCTTAGCTGATGAAACAGCAGACGTAGCTGGGAAAGGACAGCTATCAATAGGCGTGCGGTTCTACGACGAAAGCTAAAGGAAAATCAGAGAAGAATTTGTAGGATTCGTTGAACTAAAAGCATAAAATGCTTCAGCAATTGCCGAAGCAATTGACAATTTTTAACCTCCCAACAGAAGATTGCGTAGGGTTTGGATTCGATGGCTGTTCTACAATGGCAGGGAAAGAGGGTAGCGTACAAGCCATTTTGAGAAAAAAATATCCTCGTGCATTATATTTTCATTGCTCAAGTCACAAACTCAACCTTGTTGTGAATGATGCGAACGCAGTGCCAGAAATTAGAAATACTGTCGCCACTGTTAAGGATGTTATAACGTTTCTCAGAGAATCGACTACTCGTCGAAACTACGCTCCAAACCTATTACGATTGTGTGAGACGAAATGGTCCGAAAAATATAAATCAATCAGAAAGTTTTCTCAACATTTTCCAGAGCTTGTGAAATCTCTAGAAACGTTATCCGTAGAGGGAAATTATGTCACCAGAAAATCTGCATATCAGTTGCATTCAGCCGTTACAAAACCAGTGTTTATTGTAGCTCTACAAACAATAGCCAAATATTCAGCAGTTTTAGAACCAGTAGTTAACGCACTGCAAGCTAAATCGATCGACATGATCTCGGTGGGGGGACACATCAAAAATATCAAGGACATTCTCAGAAATGACCGCGAGTTTCCTGATAAAATAAGTAATGAAATGCTTCAAAAAGCGCGAGCTGTTGCAATGGATTTGAACATAGAAATTTCGGTTCCACGTCTTGCTCATAAGCAAACACATAGAAGTAATCCGCCATCTGACAATGATAACGAATATTGGCGGCGTTCTCTGATAATACCATACATTGATTCACTCATTTCATCGTTGAATATTCGATTCTCCCAAGAAAATACTCCGGCGTTTGCTTTAAGTAAGCTACATCCCTTGTATATGACCAAAACCAGCATTACAGACTTACACAAGAACGCAGAATCATTCCAAGAATTTTATAACCTGGATATCACTGGAGAACTGAACCTTTGGCATAATTTATGGATGAAGAATGCTTTATCAGATGATCAATTAAGGGATATAGAAGTAGTTGATCTGTTCAACGAAGCCAATATTTTTTACCCTGCTGTCAGAAAGGCATTGATTATTTTAAGCACTATCCCATGCACCACGGCGACCGTAGAACGGTCCTTCAGTACGCTTCGAAGAGTTAAAACGTGGCTTAGAAGCACCATGGGTGAAGAAAGGCTTACGGGTTTATGTCTGATGAGCGTACATCGCAATTATTTAAAAGAAAACAGTGAGTTTATTCAAAAGACTGTCTTAGACAAATTTTTGGCGGCAAATCCGAGAAGATTACTTTTAAATTAATATATGTGTATTATGATTATTATATATATTTAATATTTTGTTTTGTGTCATAATCAAACTAATTAATAAAAGTCAATTTTCATGATTTTTTGTTTCAATATACCCGACCGACCGTCTTCTCGAAACAGGTATGAGCTGCCCCCTCCTAGCTGAAATCCTGGGTACGCCCTTGAAAATATTACTAGATAAAATTCCACGCAGTCCAGGCAGCAGACGGGACTCGAACCCGCAGCCTTCGCTATCCGGGCGAATGCAAGGCGAATTTTAGATTTAAACATTGAGCAGTTGCATGCTTAAAAAATAAAAATTATTACTACTTTACATATTGTTTATTATTATAATAACATATTATAAATAATAATAATAAATATTTCCAACACTCATACCAATTAACCTATCCCCAAAGTAAGCACTGTAAGACTTGTGTTATGGGATGCTAGGGTAACGGAGAAAATACATATACTGTACATATACAAGTATATTTATATTGAAATACATATTAAACATACATGACTGAAGTACAAATGCTTGTATTAATTGTATTTAATTATTTCGTATTTATTTAGTAATTTGGCAATTCCAATTTAAATACCTAGATACATTCGAAGAAGTTGTATAAAGATAGAAAACCTTTAATAGTTTTGAAGTCCCATAAATACAATTAAATTAATCAGTTATTCTTGAAGTCATCTATAATAAAATGCATTCAGCTTGGGTACTTATCAAACATACTTTTGAAGATACTGACCTGAACTGAAGAATGGCCTGAACCTACTGCTTAGTTTACTGAATGATGATGGTTTGAAATCAGTAAGGAATATTACCTAATAAATGTTCACATAATTTATAAACTGTTATAGTTAATTGCTGGATATTATTAGTAGCAAGGGACGCCGAGAAAAACTGCCGCTTGAAATGCCAACAGCTCACAAGTTACCTTTTGACAGCTAGAGGGCGCTCTTCTTTCTGTAATTCCTTTGCGCCTTGTATTATAACACACTAAAAATACTGTATTATTATTAAATATCAAATTAAAATTAAATGAGTAATATTTATTTCTGTAATTAGTTATAATTACACATTCGAATTAAAGTTTCTAGAACATGGGTTGCCACTTAGAAAAAATAACATCATGGACATAGAAAATGATCAAATATCATCAAATAATAATTTAATGAATTGAAATCATGACACATACATTTAACTCAATTTGGATTCTGTTATCCGTAGAACCAATAAATAAGTTGTGGATAGCTTACAACTGTTATTTGCCTACAAACTAAGCAGAGCTTGTACTACGGAAAGTGAATTACATGTATGACGCATATTAACAACCCCAATTGGGAAACAAATATTTGTGCTCTTAGTTCGATAAATATTCGAATAGGATTATTATGTTATTATTTTTAAGCATGTAACTATCTTCCGCTACCCGAGGACCTTGCAACCTAAGAAATACTAGAGGAAATTCGATTTCGATTCATCAAGGTCTCGGTTACATAATTGGTTAGTGCGTCCACCCGGATAGCGGAAGTTGCGGGTTCGAATCCCGTCTTTCTTTTTTTAAGACCGAATGGTATTGTAATGCTTTAGCCCGTTTACGTTTAAGTTGCACCAATAAAGTCAAAGAAAAAAATTCTTTATTAAAATTCAATGGTTTTATTTCAACTCTTTTGAATCGTATTTATTTTTTATCTACCGCCCGTTATACGTAAGTTTTTTCAGCTGTGGAGAAAAGCGGACGATACAACACCAAGGAACAGCAACGATATTTTCAAAGACATTATTATGTCGTTACACTGTCAATACAATACATATTCATTATATTTTCATACACTTCTGGACACATCTATTGGCCCACCTTGTATTTTCAGTTTCGTTTGGTCCTAGCTAAAATTTTATATTAGGTCGAGCAAAAAGTTTTTATGCAGTTTTGAACCTGGCACATTCACAATTTCATTCAATAGTCTTTTTTTTAATTTCGAACACAGAATTTAAAGAAACAAAGGACAATTTGGAGCCTGTTTGTTGATATCAAACAATCGAATACTAAGAAAACTTGGTTTTATTGGTTTACTTGGATTTAATTCTTGAAAAAGTGATTGATATCTTTGGTTTTGCAACAAACATTACTTATTCTTAACATTAAGGTGAGGTTCTATCAATAATCTATGGGTACTTCACCTGAAGTCGCCGCCCAAGCTGTGGCACTTATTCAGGCCGGACACAGCCAAAGAAACGTGAGTGCTCAACTTAATTTAAGTCGATCTGCGGTCCGAAATGTTTATCGGAGGTACCTAGAGACTGGCGGTCTTGTTTGTCGCCAAGGAAGGCCATGATCTCGAGTCACAACTGAAAGGCAGGATCGATTCATTGTGACGACCAGCTTGAGAAATCGTCACCTTACCTCCATTGAGATACAAAAACAAATTCGTGACTTCCACGGAGTATCTGTGAGCGCTCGAACTGTTCGAAGAAGGTTAAAAGAACGCGATATGGTACCACACAAGCCAGCTAATGGGCCCAAACTAACAACAACCTTCATTTCGCACGCAGTCATTTAAATTGGACACAGCAAGATTGGAGCCGTGTACTCTTTTCAGATGAGTCTAAAATTGTGTTACATGGCAATGATGGAAGGAAGAAGGTCTACCGACGTAAGGGAGAGCGTTTCGCACAATCCTGCTTTGAAGAGAGGGTTGCTTATGGCGGTGGCTCATGGACTGTCTGGGGCGGTATATCCGCGAGCGGTAAAACTCAACTTGAGGTTGTTACAGGACCACGGCTGCCAACATTAAATGCTGAAAGGTACATTCGTGAGTGCTTAGAACCTCACGTGATACCATACTCGGACTATGTGGGCCCAAATTTCCTTTTTATGCATGATAATGCAAGAGCCCATGTGGCCGGCATCGTCAGGGAATATCTTTGGGATGTGAACATCACAGTTATGGACTGGCCAGCCAGAAGCCCAGACATGAACCCCATTGAGCACATGTGGGACGAGCTAAAAAGACGTGTTAGGGCTCGTCAGCCAGTTGCCCAGACGATGCAGGAGTTGAAAACTGCCATAGAAGAGGAATGGGAGATGATCCCTCAAAGTTTCATAGAGCGGTTGATAAACTCTACGGCTAATCGTATGAGAGCTGTGGTAGATGCCAATGGAGGCAACACGCGTTATTAAATTAAACCTTTATTTGATAAAACATGTTTTTTATTCAAAAATCAATTGCCTTTAACAAGGCGCATATCCGACTTGTTAGGTGTAGCTCCATGTCGTATGGTATTCTGAATTCAAATTTAAAACAATACGATCGAAAAAGATGGTAAAATGTATCAGGTTTAAAACTGCATCAACAGTTTTTGTTCAATCTAGCAATCATATTTCGGTAGGGGCCATCGAAACCTAAACTCTAAGATGGGCCAATAGATGTGTCCAGAAGTGTATATAAAAGTCTGTTGGAATTGGCATTTTATATATGTACCTTAATCAGATGTTTTCATATCAGTGATTCTCTATGATAGATTGTTAATTAAATCCATTGAATGTTGGTTGGGACTTTATTGTAAATTAGAATACAAAGACCTCTAAATTAATGATTGATTTTGTGAAAGCTAGCAGCAGGTAAAGTAGCAGTAGCATTTATCAACCCAAGATTAAAGTTGAAATATCAAAGAATTACTGGCATCTTTATATCAAAACTGAGCAGTGCGCTTGTCTTGTCTCCATTAGATTTACGAACCGATAGCGTAGTGACATTCATCAAGAGCTTGTACAGCCTTAACTGAATAAAAGGTTTTTTAAATCAGGTCCGTAACGCGATACATGCCCTGCAAGAGATGGCAGGTCCAGCGGGGTGGCACTCGGCGCACTCTAACCCCAACCTGCAGTGGAACGCGCCGCTCAACCAACTCGCGCGCAGCTGCAGCCACCCTCCCGACGTCTTCTGCTGGGATCAGGTAAACTGGATGACCTTTGTACTTCCGTGAGTTTAGCTTTAAGTGAACTTGAAAAGTTTTAGTGAATTATGTTTTCCCATCGACCAATGCAATGCCTGGTCTTGCGACATTCACACAACCTACTCGACAGTGACAATTCACACTGCGAGTGCTACCTGGCCCCTATTTCACCAAACCGAGTATGTCATTGGCTTATGTAGGCTAACCATTGTCCAGTGACAGGTGATAAGAGACAACTTTGACAATTATTTTCGAAAATATTATAGAAATGACGGGCATTTTGTTATTTCAGCGGCAGTAAAATTATGTTGTGAAACAAGGTTAATTTTTTAAGTCGACATATTTGAAAAATTGTCGGTCATTCTTGCAATGCAATCGGGGCTGTATCAGAGTTGCGTTCAGTTGTAGTGTATTTGTTGTTATTTACAAAATGGCTCTCCGCGAAAGCTTGAAAAGATGAGTTTTTATACAGGAGAATTTTATAAAGAATGAATAAATTCCTCTTTTGACAGGTAAAACTGAGTTTGCATTAAAAAAAAAATCCGCATAAGCAAAACCTTTGTCGAACATCTTAATGAAATCGGTGCTGTAAATAAATCACCCCAAAACAAGCCGTCGTCACAAAAATGTCAGTAGCAAATGTCGACTTGGAAAAATAGGACCCTGCTAAAATAAATTCTTATTGAAGTTTACTAAATTGTCGATGGTGTGTCAAACAAATAAATCAAACCCTAAGTTTTTCCAACATAGAAACAGCTGCTCTGGGTCGCACTTGCGTAAAACCGACTTGTATATAAATTCACACCTACTTGCACGCATTTTAATGCCGGGACTTTATAGTCTTATTGCAATTACTTTTGTCTATGACGCAATCGAAATGGTCTTCGAGAATTATTGATTTTAAAGTGAGTTACTTATACGTGGGACACTCAGAAGGTTTTGAGAAAATAAAAAACTAACTTCTAAGAAAAAAATATTTTTATTAAATCTTTTCAAAGAACTCTCCACCAGCCTCTATACAAAGTTTCCTGCGTCTGAACCAATTTTCAAAACATTTTTTCCAGTCCTCCGCAGACACCTCTTCCACGGCCTTCTCAAACGCTGCTAGCGCTTCTTCCGGCGATGAAAACTGTATCCCTTTGAGCTGATTTTTTATTTTAGGAAAGAAAAAGAAATTACACTGAACCAAATCAGGACTGTAAGGAGGGTGTCCCAATACTGGTGTAGAGTCCAGGAAGTCCTTCGTTTTGATCGCAGAGTGCGCTGGTGTGTTGTCGTGGTGAAGAAGGATCCCGCGGAGCCCGGTGTTAGGTCGCTTGTTGCTCATTGCAGAAAAAAACTTCTGGCAGGTATCTTATGCTATACCATTCGGCGTTGATGCTGCTTTGGTCTCGATGTGGAATTGAACTAATTTCAATACCCCGTCACAGTGAAGAAACTAGCGATCAAAATTTTCCCTGCGCTCTTTGATCATTTGAAACAGCCAAACTTTCATTTCGTTGGGTCATTTTGAAACAGCCAAACTTTCGACTGACGCTTTGTTTCTGGATTGTATTGATAAATCCAGGATTCGTCACCTGTCACAATATCAAATCAAATTTTTGTATCATATCACTGCACCAATCCACACGGGCCTGCTTCTGAGCTTCAGTGAGGCTGTGCGGCACCCAGCGGGAAACTATCCCCCTTATG